AACAACAGTACTACCATAAAATTTCCAAGCGTTCTAGTGTGTTTCTGTAGGATACGCTAACAACAAGATTTGCAGTTCAAACCCACCAAACGTACCTTGGAAACTTTATGCAGATTATCACATCTTCCTCCTGCAGAGCATCTGGTGGATTCTAACTGCCAACTTTTGATTGTTAGCTGAGTGCTTAAGAACTGTACCAGACAATTTGAACATTTTCATGCAAATAATGGAACAATTAGCCCTTTAACTTGACCATAACAGTGACTCCACCCTAGATTACCACTTGTTGATTCTTGACTAAAAGAAGTATGTGGGATGTGTGCATATGGGGGTGGGTGGGGAGTAAAGGGTTTCCTAAGATTTTATTTCCAGATTTAAGTATTAATTCAAGAAATGACAGAACAGTAAACATGGTCATTCCTATCTCGTAATTGTGTTGTCTGTGGAGTTCACTTTGACAGTATTGTCAAGATCCTGATCTCTTTAAACATATTAATTACAACACATGCTATTGCTGCTGTTGTTGCTATTAAGGGCCATCAAGTTGGTTTGGACTCACAGCAACCCTGTATAGGGTTTCAGCATGGCTGGCGAGTTTGAACTGCCAACCTTGTAGTTTAAATTGATTGTGAGGTCTAGTGTTCATCCTACATCACCACACCAGGACTCCAAAATACAGGTACACATGCCCATAAATATGCACACTTACACACATAGACACACACATAAAAGTCTAAAGGTGCTTTTAAAAGTTCTTGAAAAAAATGGAATGAAAAGATAATGGATTTTTTTCCATGAACTTTTTGAAGCCCTTTCATATCTATAGAAAATGCATGATCTCACACACATGCACACAGACACTTATTCACACATACACCTCCATATAGACATGTATTCACTCACATACACATACAAGCCAATATACATAACCTACTTAGACACCTGTTCAGGACACACACATCAAAGCCCATGTGTACTCACACACACACAGAAGTGTACATATGCACACACTCAGGCACACACAAGAGTGAATACATGCACATAAACACACACATATACACACACTTGTGCACATATGCATGTACATGACACACACACCAACACAAAGAACAACAGATCACAAATTTGTAAGACTCTCTAATAACATGGAAAGGAAACCGTGGATTTTTTTGGACAGTAAAGTAAATCAAGTATTCAAACAATATAAAAACATAATTCACTGGAATCTTTGCTATTGCTAATAATTATATGCATCTTCTATGTACCAGACATGATATCGTATGATCCCCAATTTATAGATAAGTAAACCAAAACAAAGAAGTGGTAAGTAAGATATCCTAAGAGATACTGCTAGCAAATGGAAGAACTGAGTTTGCTGACTCCTTTCAATCACCTCCTCATGTTTCCTCCCACAACCGCTCAGGTACCTAAGGAAACCATTGCTCTCTTTCATTGTATTGATTGCAAAACTGTGCAAGTCTCCAGTTCATTTGGTGGTTGTGTCTCCGGCTGTACAAGCGCAGGACAGCCTGGCAATGTGCACACCAACTCCACCAGGTAGGCCCTCAGGTGCTGGTAACACATTTTAGAATCTATCAGTGATGTCATGTACTCAGTTAACTGAATGGAAGGGAGTTCAAAGGAAGCCACATGGAATTATTTGGTATGCTGTTTGAGAAACATGCCAACAAGTTTAATTTCCAATATATTCCATCTGCCTCTTAAAAAATAAGAAGCAAGTGGACATACGCTCTCCAGACTTATCCAGGACAATTCAATTATAAGAGAAATCTTTTAATAAAATATACATTGTTAAACTCTTCATCTTTAAACACACACTACAGTACATGCATATATATTATATAAAACACACTGCATACAGAGTTCATATTTATATACACACACTCACTACACACATAAATACATGCACTACACACATGCATAGATAAACATACATATGAAGAACATATGAAGAAATAAATCCCTTTGCTTAGTAAGATCTTGCCAAACTCCCATTTAATTTCCCAAAATCTTCCTGATAGCAAACCTCACCCAAGAATAAAATGCAAAAAAACCCTTTGTGTATCAGTTGAAAAGAATTGCTTAATGTAATATGTTTTGGGGGAAAAGAGCTTAGGTTTGACTTGAATTTCATTTTACTCTCCTAAATACAAACATACAAATATCCAGTGTGTTTATAAATGCCAGCGAAAAGGGCGGGTAGGAGGGAGGGGATTTCAAAATGTCTTACCTCTTCATATTCGTAGATGTTTCAGAATTCACTTTAATAAGCCCATCAAGGTCTTGTTTTCTTTAAATGAAGAAATGAGCTTTAACAAATATCATTAAAGTAAAACACTAATCAAGTGAATAATGATTTGAAAAATTAAAAAGTGGTAAATATACCCTCTCTAAATCAATATAAATTTTTCAAAACTCTAAATGCACCTGACATTTTCTTTCTTACATATTGAGCTAAAGACCGTGTTGTATTCCTTGTTTGCTAACAAAACATACAATTTTCTGTTTTGTTCTTAAAATACTTAAGTAAGTACACTAATTATTTGATGGCAGTAACTTTGCCCTCAGTATATTCTGTTAGAATACTCCAAATGAATAGCAATGACAGTAATGCAAGGTGGATAAAATTCTCCACTGGACCTAGGGAGGATATAAATTGCTATTCGATAAATCAGTTATTCTGTTTTTACATAGTAAGAACCTTGCTTCCTTCATATAAATTCAATCATCCTCAAATCCATTCCAAGCCTTTAACAATATCTTTGCATTCATAGAGAGTTATAAAGGACTCCTGTTGCGACACTATAGGATAAGCACTGGATTGCTAATCACAAGGTCAGTGGTTCACGCCTGGGAAACTCGATACAGGGTTGCTGTGAGTTGGAACCTACTCAAGGGAACTTAACAACAACAAATCAAGAGCAAGACAAAGTGCCTTACATGATAGAAAAATAAGTGACTCATTTCTCAGGGGATTCATGGTACCCATTAAAATGGACTGAGTAACACAAAAAGGGGCCTCGCCTGGAGACCATAGTTGAGGCAGAACTTTCTTGACTGGGTATTTAATGTCATGTCCACACAGCTCTGACCAGGAGATGTGATGGCATGTCCTGACTTCCAGTGCGTGGAGCTGCCCAGCCCCTCCCCTGAGCTGCTCTCTGAGACCACTGTCATTAGGAAATGGATTGGCACGTTTTAGTTAAGCCTCACTCACAGCTGCCTTTGCCATGTTGGAGGTCCTTGTTGAAAATGTTGTCAAGACTGTACTTTTAAAAGGCTGTCAAGGCTGTTTTCTTTGGCCCAAAGAAATTCAATTGAATGTCTCATGTTTAAAAAATGGTTAAAGCTCAAGAGCTGGGAGAACAGGCAACTCACCATCAAACGCTAAAACAATTCTTCAAAAATAGTTTCATTGAGGACAAGAAGGGAATGCCATTTGGCCCATATTTATTGTACATCCAATGCTAATAAAATATGGTTATAAAGCTAAAAAATCACATTGTTTTATCTTTTGCTTGATCGTCATTTTAAGAAATCAGTGTAAGACCATAATAAATCTCAGATTCTCTGGATGATTCAAACAGCTTCTTTGCTCTCCGACAGGTCAGAGACTTGAGTCTAAACAGAAATGTCTCAGAAGGAAGACCTGAGTTTCCCCAAAACTCATCCATTGACAAGCGAACAGACCACAGTTCTATTCTGATATGCATGGGGTTGCCATGAGTCTTACTTGACTTAATTCCATAATCCCAACTGATTAATAAGTCTTACTCTGTGGTATTTGCACTTCCTTTGGGATTCACTTGGTTAGCATTATTAAGGTCTTCATATCTTTTTTTTTTTTAAGATTAGATCAGTTTCAAAGTACTCCTTTGGTAATAGAGACATACATGTTCTATATGCTTGATGATTAATTAAAACATTGTGGAAAATAACTAAACTGATGTTAAATTCATGTTTATAAAGATTGATTATAAAGAGTAAAATCCTTTAACATGAGGGATTTTACTGGACTGTATGTAACCATAAATTCAGATGGGATATACTATAGACTTTCCATTGTGAAGGCCAGGGGCATGGCTCAGATACATAAATGAAAAGGTAGACTCATAGAGGTCAGCCCCTCAGTATCACTGAGAAAATCTTACAGCTCATTTGGGATAAAATATCCCAATTTCAGAAACATCTAAGCAGTTCACTGCCTCCTGGGTTTATCTGTGCTGAGGTTTACTTTGATAATGATTTCAAGATCTTGGCTTCTTTAAAAAGGAGATCAAAACTGAATGTCAGGCTACATATAACTTTCTCTGAAATATTTATAAACAAAAAATGTCCCAGAAAGTAGTTTCAGATGTTTTCAGGACCAAACAACCAGAAAGACCATTTATTTAATCAGTCTCTGCTTATCTTCATTAATTTCCATGGTTGTGCATGATTTATAAAATGAGCCTACCTGTAACATCAGTTTAGAAAAGCTCTCTAATATGCCTCATACATTGCAACTTTATCCTTTATATTTCTTGGTTAAAATTTTTTTTGAATGGGGGTATTTCTAAACTGCTTAAGAAAATAGAAAGTAACAGCTTATCTAACAAGTTTCCCTTGAAATGCAATTGAAATACGTGGCACTATAAAAACCAAACAGCAATCCCGTGTGCCGGGGTAGTACTATGCTTCACCCAGTTTTCAAAGATGATGTGTCAGAAGTAGACTCCAGGTCTTTCTTCTGAGGTACCTCTGAGCATACTTCAGCCTCCAATCGTTCTATGAACAGCAGAGCATGCCAATTGTTGGCACCACCCAAAGACTCCCCTTAAAAACAGCAATCACCACCTTTTCCTATGATCTCTCATAGACTTGACCAGTGACGTAACCATTCATCTACGACAGTGGGGAGCAAGACACTTTCATTTCTCAGAAAGTACAGAAAAACTAACCTGAAAACAGAACCCCGTCAAGGTAGGGGGTTTACTTACCTGCTTTCATTTTTGTCAGTCCTTTGATTAATTTTACTAAGACTTCCAAAGCCTCGGTATCTTTATATATTGCAAAGAAAAAGAAATAGCGCAAAAGCAAGACAGAGAGAAAACGTAACTCAGTAATATGTTCATATTTCATGTGACAATAACAAGTTTCTCACAACTGTAGTAAATTGTCATCAGTGTCTAAAGGACCAGTAGTCTCTACTAGTTTACATTCATTATGTAAACTAGTTGTTGTTGTTGTTAAGTGCCTTCGAGTCGGTTCCGACCCATAGTAGAGATGTGGAATTCTCTTACTGTGTAAGCCGGAGCCACTGCCAGGTGTGACTGGACCAGTTTTAAAGAAAAGCCCTATCAGGTCTCCACTTTAGCTTTCTTAGTCCTTTGGGGCTGGGTTTATGCGGGGCAGAGAGTGTCTTCTTCAAGCACAAAAATAATTGAAATGAGGGGTAGAAATTAGATCGCCAACATTTTAAATCTATACATTTTGAAGATTTAGACAAAATCATTTCTCAGAAATCACTCAAAAGTTTGTTTAAATTGTAACTCCAGTACTTTCACTTTAGTTGGACACACCCAACAAAGCTTTTTCATGCCAATGGATAAAAACTATTGTCATTGTTAAGTGCCTTTGAATAGGTTTCCACTCATAGCAACTCTGTATAGTTTCCAAGGAGCAGCTGGTGGATTTGAAGTGTCGGCCTTGAGGTTCAAATCGACCTTGCGGTTGAATGCTTATCCTACAGCACGACACCAGGACTTCTAGAAACTATTGAGTGCTGTGAAATATAAAAACAAGACAAACAAGACAAAAACCCACTGCCATTGCGTCATAGGGGTTCCAAGGCTGTCATTGTCTTTGGAAGTGGATGGCCACATCGTTCTCCCAAGGAGTGGCTAGTGTGTTCAAACTGTCAACTTCTTTGGTTAGCAGCTGAATACTTAACCACTGCATCACCAGGGTTCCTTCCATATGAAAGATAATTCCTCAAAATGTAACTCATTGATCAAATGTCACCATTTGCCATTTTCATCTGTGATAAGATTATTGACATTTTAGGTTCTTTCAGTAAAAGAAATGTAAAAGGGGAGGGAGGAAAGCAGGAAAGAAAAGGACATTTACATGACATTTTCTTTAAGAAGTCTTCAGCAAACCTGTGTGTTCATGTCACAGACTTCCCTTTCAGTGCTCTGGGCTCTTTCTCTACATCAAAACCAGAGCCAACAAGTCTTCCCATTTATACCCTCGTCTCTTTTCCCCTACCTCTAGCCCACAAAATGATTTAATTATGGTACTTATCCTGCCTTTACTACTTCACACCTCTTTTGTGGAACTTTCCAAACTCTTATCTATTAAATATCTGAAACCCTAACTATTCCTGTAGAGTTCATATAACCACTTACAGCTAATTGACTGTTTTCATCCTTTATCTGTTCCCCATGTAAAGAAAAGAAAAAAACAAAAACAAAACACTTGTAATAATATATGCATGCTTACATTAAAATAATATGTTGTTAATATGCATTCAATATCTGTGTGATTGTTATTGCCAAGGAAGTGTAGTGAATCTATAGGATAAGCACCTAACTATGAACCACAAGGTCAGCAGTTGGATCCCAACCACTACTCCACAGTAAAAGGATGAGGGTTATTGCTCCTGCAAAGGTTTATAGCCTCAGAAACCCTATAGAGGATCACCATGAGTCTGAACCAACTCAATGGCACTTAACAACATTACTGCCAACACTTTATATCAGAAAGTGTCAGCAAAGTCTTCTGAATCACTGAAGGTTGATCTGCCAAGCTTGATTTGGGAAGCCATAAAACCATTCTGTGCACCCATCAACTGGCATAGAGCAATGGTTTTTAAAAATATCCATGACAATAGAAATAATTATAGTAAGGAAGGCAAAGTTAATGCTTAACAAAATACAAGGTAGGGGGAAATTAATGGAGAAATCCTTTAAGTCCTTATCCATTGTCATTCTTAACTGTTCTAGACTTTTCTTTAATGAAACTGTTACAAGTTTGATTTCTTTCAACATGAAAAATAAAATTAGTAAATAAAAGTTTTCTGATATATCAGTATCAGCTCAGTTACTAATATGAACTAACTTACCCTTTTTGTGGCATGAAATAAGATATTGAAATAAGATATAAGATATTGAGATATTTATAAATATGTCTGAGATATTCCAGACATATTTATAAAAATATTTATTTATAAATATATTTCAAAAAGTTCATGAAAAATTGAATGGAATTTTCCCACAAACATCTTGACGCTTCCTTGTACATATAAAATGACTCAAACAAGATCTCATCTGAAAAATGCCTTAAAACAAGTCAAAGACATCAATGTAGAGGGGCTATGCTGCTAGCAACAACATGTCTCATAGTAAATTGATTGAGTTTTCAAAACCAGCCTATTGTCCATTATTTGTAACAGTTGGTTGAACTTCCTTCATTTTTACATATGAGGAATGTTGAAGATCATCTGGGTCATGTCCTTCACTTTATAGGATGAGGAAATGGAAGTTCCCAGAAGTTAAGAGACTTGCCTAGAGTCAAGCTGATAGATGTTAGTGGCAGCGCCGGCATCAATACAGCTACCCATCTCTTGACCCTGATCCAGGTCCTATCTCACCAGCCTGGCTGACCCTTGTCTTATGAAGGCACTCTCACCAGAAAGTGGTTTATAGTCTAAGTGGTCTGTAAGAGTTTCAATCAAACCTTACCCTTTGCCATCTTTTTCTGTCCGGGAGTTCAGATAGATGAGGTTCTCAAGGCTTTTGGCTCTTAAAACACAAAGAAATCCAAGTGAAAGACTGCATGTTGCATTGAAACTGTGTGCTATGTTGAAAGGTCAGACACAATAAACATTCTTCAGGAATTACTCATTTACTCTGATTGAATGGAAGAGAGAAATCCTTTTGGGGATTATGTCTGAACTAAATGTACACGCTACCACATCTGCCAGTATATTTCCATGCCAGAGGATACAACTTCCTTACAGCTAATGTCAGAAAGAATAAAGCAAACAATCTGGGAGATCATGTTTTCAGATTATAGACAGATGCACATACCTCTTCTCTGTTTGCTCTGCTTTAGGATTTGCTCTGAAGAGACCATCAAGACCTTGATTCCTTTAAATGGGTTGAATTAAAAAACAAAAACAAAAAATCCCTCATCAGTGGTAATTGCAGATATTTAACTGTCAAAAAAACATAAACCAAGTTATATCTGAGCCAAGAAATAAATTAGTTTGGAAAGGGGAGCCCCAATTCTTGAAATGGCTTTCTTCCAAACAGGTCTTTTCATAGAATTGAAATCTGAATTGCAGTGGACACACTGCATAAAGGCCACAAACAAGATCTCATTGGTCTACAGATGCGTTGCTTGAGTTCACGGAGTGTTTTTATTTTTTTTTTGTGGCAGCCAGCATTTATAAAGATGGTCACTATACATTGTGACTTAGAATTTCAGGATCTCCTGAAACTTGTAATGCCCTGTTACAAGGGGTCACATTCCTGTGTGGCAACTGTCAGCTGGTAGGCATTTGCTCCTCTTTTAGCTGCAGCTCCCCAACCCCTTATACTTCCCTCAGGCCATCTGCCTGGCCTTTGTAGATCCTAGAATCTGTGAATCCTGATGTAAGACACCTCTCCTAATAAACGAGAAAATTTAGACCCAGCAAATGTAAGCGAATTGTCCGTAGTCAAGCATTCATTCCATTACAGTCAGAACAGGGCACGCAGACCACAGATCCATGAATTCACTGGAGGTTTGCTTTATTTTCTTCCTCTTTGATACCTGCCCATTTAAGATGCTAGTATGAAAAGTAACAAAGATATAACTAAAACTGTACACACCTATAACATAAACTTTATTCACTTTTCTCTCTGTATTTTAAAACTATGCTGTAATAATTTATTCAAAATAAGTAGATAATGTCAATTAAGCTAGTAAATGGTGTTTTCCATGGTCTAAATTAAAAGTATTCCATGCCCAAACCTAGCTGTTTTACATGCTGATGTTATTGTTGGGTGCACCTGAGTTGATTTTCGATTCAAAGCAACGTCATGTGACAGAGTAGAACTGAGGAGAAGATCACCAAGTATGTTCGTATTTCAGGAAAAGAAATTCACTTATATAACTGCCTTCATAAAAAGGGAAATAAGAAAATAAGACACTTTCATATATGAGGGTGAGTCAAAAATTATCCACAGTCCAGTTATATTAAAATGCCCATCCATGTCCATGACTGATGACAACATTGAGTGTTCACGTGAAATGATTCTGTCATAGACAAGTGACAGTGGATTGTGTGGCAAATCATTCACAAATCAGCCATGGCTCTGACTATGAAACAATCCATGACAGACTTAGGTTTTGAAAAGTTTGTGCCAGATGGATACCGAAACAACTCATGGAAGTGCATGAACAGAAACATTTGGCCAACTGTAAATAAATTTTGGACCAATACTAGAAGGAAGGTCAAAGTTTCTTTTAAAAAAATCGTTGCTGGTAAGGAAACATGAATTCATCACTGTGAGCCTGAGAGCAAACAGCAGGGAAGAATATGGAATGGAAACATTAATTGCTGCCCAAGAAAAAGTTCAAAAGTCAACCATAAGCTGGAAAATTGATGCATACAGTGTTCTGGGATTCTCAAGGGCCCTTATTAGAACACTGTCAGGAACAGATTCAACAATCAACAGTGCTCCTTATAGTGAGATGCTCTCTAAAGAGCTGAAGACTTAATCTGGGAGAGAGGACTGCTGTCCAAGGGCTTTGTGATCTGCATGACAATGCATATCCCCATACCTTTGCCCATACTATTGACACTCTGCAAAAACTTCCTTTTGAGGTGTTAACACATCCTCCCTATGGTCCTAATTTTGCTCCATCAGACTTCCACCTGTTTGGTCCCCTGAAAGTGGTTCTTTGAGGATAAAGATTCACCTCTGATGAAGAAGTGAAGACAGTGATGCATTCATGGCTCACAGCTCAGCCTAAAACATTTTAAAATAAGGGAATACAAAAGCTTGTTGACATGTGGATAAAGTGCATTGAAGAGTCAGGAGATTATGTCAAAAAATGATTTACTTGTCTTTTCTAAAAGTTGATTAAAATAAATACTACAGCCAGAGTGCAGATAATTTTTGACTCACCCTCATATTTCAGACTTTAATAACCATTTTTAATCACATGAGCTATTTCTGACTGCCATAAGCTTTTTTGTACAGATTTGTAGCATTCTTTTAACAAGTGCACTGTGGGTTATCATGCTCACATACAGAAAAAAATGTAAGAAATCATGATGTATACTTCAGTAATAAAGTTAAGTTAGATGCTTTGAACTCTTACCTATTCAAGCTTTTGTTCATCTTGATGATATTATCTAATTCTTCACTTTTGGAATGAAAAAAAAACAAAACAAAAAAACGCACATCAGTAAAAGACCAGCCATAGTCAAAGGGCAGATTCACCTTAAAATGGCTATTTCGGAGTTCTCTGAAATACAACACACATCCCAACTTTGTTGTTTCTGAAAAATCCTTCATGGGTTCCTCAAAGATCCTTCAAGGCTCTTTTTAAACACTACTTCCTTCAAGTAGCCTTTCACAGTCCTCCGATTTGGAAACTTCAGACAGTGTTGTTTTTTTGTTTTTGTATTTCCTTTACGGTACTTACCCACTTATGCTTTGTATATAGCAATTGCACTGTCTCGTGTTAATGATCCTGCTGCTACACACACACATACTTAACAATTAGAACTATATTTTACACTGGATCCTGTCCATTCTTTAACACAGTGCCTTTCATACAGTAGACAATACAGTTTTTCAAATTGAACCAACAAATACAGGTACACTGAGTTATTATAAAGTCTAGCTTTGAACAATGTAGTTGCACAAAATACATATTGGAAAAGTCTTTCTTGAATTCCACCACCACCTCACTCCCAGAAGCTAAACTTGCTCTTCTATTTCCGTGTTCAAGAACTACTATGCCTTTTGTGGAGTCCTGGTATGATGCTATAGGATAAGCACTGGACCACAAGGAGGGTTTGAATCTCAAGGCCGGCAGTTCAAACCTGCAGCTGCTTATTGGAAACCCTACACAGGGTCACTATGAGTTGGAACTAACTCCATGAAACTTAAAAACAACAGCAATGCCCTTTGTGGATGCTTTTTCAGAGGCAATCTGTTTAAGTCAAGTCTCTGACTTCCAAAAATCTCTCAGAATCAAATGGACTTGTCAGTCTCTCCATGGCATGCAGCTGAGGTAGGTTCTTCCAGAATACTCTTTGGTCTTGCTTTTGTTCACTTCTCACAAGAAGTCTTCTTCATTCTTTTCTGCCCTTTCCCAGTTCCCTTTACTATTAGCTTTCTCATCCAGTTTTTCATTTCACAAGTCTTTGTTCTTCCATCTTTCTGCTCTAGAATCACATGTTTTCCAGCCCTTTGCAGCAATTCTGTTTCTTCCTAAGTCATCCCTAATGTTGACCAGGAGGCCCTGAGGCTCTCCGTAGTTACGCATTTAGGCTCTTCAGTCCTGGTGTGGAGCTGTGAGCTAATGCATCAGACTGCAAAGTAATTTGAACTGCAAGGTCAGAGGTTCAAGCTCACCAGCTGCTCCTTGGAAACCCTATACAGGGGGATTATGAGTTAGCATCAACTCGACAGCACTTAACGACAACATTAGGGAAACGGAGTCCTTGTATGGTGCTATGGGTTAATGCTCTGGACTGCAAAGTACGTTTGAACTACAAGGTTAGCAGTCCAAACTCACCAGCCATTCCTTGGAAACCCTACACAGGGTCACTATGGGTCAGAACCAACTCAATGGCATTCAACAATAACAATCAGGGAAACCTAGGTTCCCATCTGGATTTACCATTTATTAACTAGTGGCTCTGGGCAAGTTACTTAACCTCTTGCTTCTTCAATATTCCTATCATGTTGTTGTGATTGTGTACCATCAAGTTGATTCCAATTGATAGAGTTCCCAGGTGATGGAGTAGAACTGCCCCATCAGGTTTTCTTGACCGTAATTTTTATGGCACAGATCACCAGATCTTCCTCCCAACGACCCAGTATATGGGTTCAAACCACCACAAACCTTTCTGTTAGCAGCAGAACACTTAAATGTTTCATCATCACAGCTCCCGGTATAAAACCAGAATAATCATTGTCTCCACCTCAGAGAGGAATCAACGACATAATGAATATAAAATGATTCATGTGTTGCCTGACAAATCATAAGCTCGCAATTAATTTTGACCATTATAATAAGCAATTCCCAGTCAATAATATTTTTTCATTTAATAAGTGCTTGTTATATTTATTTACAAAACTACATTTAGAGACACCATGACTTTGGCTCAGCCTTAGGGAGATAGAGCTAATGAGTGATTTATGCGTTTGAAGGGGTCTGAAACAAGACAACCCAGCGTATTTGCCAGAAAAGTAGTTTCAGACAGTCCTGTAGCAACTCTGACAATACATTAAATTAACAGCCACCACAGAAATGACTCCTATAAAATAATATTACATATCCAGTCATGAAATTGAAGGCTCAAAAAGTAAAAATTCCTATTCCTGGCACAAAATTGTTAAACACTCTAGATACAGCACTCCATCATTGTTCCTTTGCTTGAAATTCGACCTGTCAACTCTTAGGCTGAGAAGCTGTCTGTGTCCCCAAGGGAATGTGCAGACTAAGAATCTTGTAAATTTTAGCCCCAGCCTTTTGTGATTGGTATGAGTCACAGGGGTGAAATTATCAGGACTCAGGGTTGCATATTTATCACAGCAAAATTAGCATAAATCATGAGAAGACACTGGGTAGTGAATTAAAGAAAATGGAGAATATATTCTGAATAAAGAAGCTGAGCTTTTTAAAACCATTTAAAATGACTAAATTGATGAAAGGTTCGGGTATTAAGTTTCACCATTGCTTTTGCAACAAATTAAATGGTCTTCATCAGATTGCAGGAACACCCTACTCCACAAAGGGGCATCACAAAGAGCAGCTTGGGTAGATAAAGCTATTTCTAGTCCCTATGGACAGTCACAATAGTCTGTAATGAATATGGCTATGCAACAGACATTCTCCCTGGGTCCCTGTCTATGTAACTCCCCCCACCCCACCCCCAGCCTCATGTGATGAATGGTTCTGGCCATGGGAGGTGTGCATTGTGGCAAGGGAGAGCAGACAAAAAAGGGAAACCAACTGTAGCTCTCATTGTTTTTGTTTCTTTAATGTCAAACCATAATTTCATGTCAGCATCCCTCATCTATCTCTCCCTCAAACAACCTGATCCCCACCAAAAGAACTTACAACACTACTATAAACAAGGTAAGCCCACAGACTAAAAGAAATAAAATTGAAAATCTAGACATTCAGCGTAGAAAGAGAAGAGAAGAAACAAACAGAAATAATGCCCTCGGATATTTTTTAGTCTTTTTCTGGAGTTAGAGTTCTTCCTCTTCTTTGAGACTGCAATTCCCACTAACATTCTCAGCATTACTAAATTCCATTAAGCAGGGATTTGGGGTTGTTTTTCTGGTAATTTTGGGATTTAAACTGTGGAAGATTTATACTCAAGATTTTCTCACTATTCATTGTTCATTTTATGATAATATATAAACATCTACTTTGTACAAAGCATTGTGTTAGACTTGAAAGGACATATGATGGATAAATCTCAGCCTTCACAAATTATGAAGATGATGAGATGTTTGCCACAGATACCATGAACCAAACCAAATATGATTCAGTGCTATAAATATGAATGTTGCTTTTGTTGTTAAGTGATGTTGACTGGGTTCCAACTCACAGTGACCCTGTATAGGTTTTCTGAGACTACAAATCTTTGCAAGAAAATAAATTTTGCCTCATGTTTCTCCTATGGAGAGGCTGGTGGGCTTGAACCAGTGACCTTGGGGTTCTCAGTTTAGTGCTTATTGTACAGAGTTACCACACTACCCAGATATAGCCTGTTGTTGTTGTTGTTAATTGGCTCCTACTCCTGGTGACCCGTTTCCAAGGAGCAACTGGTGAGTTTACCACTGACCTTGAGGCTCAAACTAGACTTGTGGTCCAGTGCTTATTCTGCAGTGCCACACCAGATAAGGCCTGTTGCTGTTGTTAAGTGCAGTTGAGTCAGTTCCAACCATAGGGACCCTGTATAGGGTTTCCAAGGAGTGGCTGCTGAGCTCAAACTGCCAACCTTGGGGCTCAAACTGACTTTGCAGTCCAGCACATTAACCCACAGCACCATACCAGGACTCCTGATATAGCCTGGGAGATCCTAAAGAGAAGGTGCTAGAAAGACAACAATAGTTAGAACAAGGTCAGAACCAGGTTCATTGAGGTCACAGGAATGAGTAAACTCACCAAAGGAGGAAGCAGAGCTATAAGAGAGTCTAAGAATACCATTACCATACAATACTAAGTTTTATTTAGACACACTCATTCTATCTTCCTTTAAATCAGTCATAGGAAACCAACAGCATTGGAATTTTGTTCATATTTGAACACTTTAAATGTACTGGTTAGACATTTTTGAAGCATGAAGAGAAGAAAAAACCAAGCTCAAAAGCTCTGAGACCTCACCCCTTGTCAGTTTTCTGAAATGAAGTTGCCACTTTGACGATGTTATCGAGATACTGACTCCTTCAAACAATGAAAATAAACACAAGTCAGTAACAATAGAGCTAGCTCTAAAGGAGTTAAACTTTTTTGTTTTCAACTAACACAGTGTTGCTCAGAAATTATTTAGTTTGTTAAAATAATAAAATAGTTCTATCATATTAGCTGATGACTCACATAGATGGGCCCACACCTCCCACCTCCCTCACCCCACATTCACACCCTGTCATTCCACCTGGGTGTTTCTCTGCCATCTACTGTCCACTGAGATAATGACAGTTTCGCCTAAGCATTTGGCTCCCAAGTTCTAAACTTCAAAAAAAGATATGAAAAATAATATAACTGTGCAAGTAGATACAGATGTGTGTTTGTATACTAGAGACAAAGAGCATTAAGCACATCTCCATACAAAAACTCCATCATGGGTTAGGATTTGCAGCTCAAATCCACTAGTTGCTCCTCGGAAGAACTATGTGGCTGTGTGCTCCCAGAAAGATTTAGTCTCAGAAAACGTATCTAGGGTTGCTGTCAGTCAGATTGGACTCAGTGGCACTGGGTTAGGTTTCCAAAGGGAAATTAAATTAATTTTTAGATTTTAGGATTATGAAAGCACCTGACCTGGTGGGCATAGTTCATGCTGGTCTCCCTAGATCAGGAAAAGGAATAGGTAGGTACATCCTTGTAGCTTTTCCTTTTTACAATGTCTCATACAAAGTTATTAGGATTGTTGTTAAGTGCTGTCATAGCAAACCTATACAGGGTTTACGAGGCTGTTGTGGGAACAGAAAGCCTCATCTTTCTCCCTCAGAGTAGCTGGTGGGCTTGAACCTCTGACCTTGTGGTTCACAGTCCAGTGCTTATTGTATGGAGCTACCACATTCCTAGTTAATAGGATTGTTGTTGGTGTTGTTAAGTGCCATATAGTCAGTTACAACACATAGTGACCCTGTCTAGGGTTTCCAATGAATGACTGGTGGGTTCTAACCGACAACCTTGCAGTTCAAACTGGCCACACCCAGGCTCCAGTTAATAGGATTGTTATTAAGTGCCATCGAATTGATTCTGACTCATACTGATGCTGTATTGGCTTTGAACTGCCAACCTTGTGGCTTGTAGTTAGTGCTGATCCTATAGTACCACACCAGAACAGGTAGTCAAACAACTTTGGGGAAATCAACGTACTTCTAGAGATTCTGAATACACATAAACATACTGAAGTTTCTAAGCAGTATCCATAGCAAAGGACTCTCTATTTAATTGTGTTTCCTAAATGCTGTTGCTGTGTGTGGCCATGTCCACGCAAACTCATAGAGGCCCTCTAAGAGACCCTATAAGAGGCCCTACAAAACTGGCCCATATGGTTCCCTAGTCTGTAATCCTTACAGCAACAGATTGCCAGGTCTTTTCTCCCATGGAGCTGCTGGTGGCTTTGAACTATCAACTTTTGGGGTAGCAGCTGACCACGAAGCCACTGAGTCACCAGAGTTACTAAATGTATTGGGCCATTAAACATTTCTTTCACACACATGTATTGACATCTTTGGGTCCATGGAACTCAGTGTGGAAAATGCTAACTCAGGAATTGCTACAAAGTAAGCATGATTCATTCGCCCCAATAATGTAATTTATATTTCAAAGTAGGACTCTTCCGAGAGCTAAGGGGATGATTTTAAAATAAAAAAAGAAAAAGAAAAATATTTAAGTTTCTAATAATTAATTTGATTGACTCATTTATCAGATTGATAGACTTATAAACTATTATTGTAGAAAAATGACTTTCAAAAATAGCATTGCTACAAAGTAAGCATGATTCATTCGCCCCAATAATGTAATTTATATTTTAAAGTAGGACTCTTCTGAGAGCTAAGGGGATGATTTTAAAATAAAAAAAGAAAAAGAAAAATATTTAAGTTTCTAATACTTAATTTGATTGACTCATTTATCAGATTGATAGACTTATAAACTATTATTGTAGAAAAATGACTTTCAAAAATAGCATTTATTTTCTTTAAAAAAGTAAATTCAAGCTATGTCCCTAACAAACACTAAACCAGATTGTATGTACAGGACAGCAGGCATAAACCAGGATGTCCTGGGGAAACCAGGACATGACATCATGCCCCAAAGGCATCAACACCATTTGTGACCATCTTCTTAATGTACCAGGAGGTGGACATGGCGCTACACAGACAGCTGTGGGAGGCAACACTTCTCTAAAACACATTCAATTAAAGGACTGTCTTTCTAATTATCCATTCGGTATATGCCGTGGGGCAAGCTTGGGGATTGAAGAGGAGAACTAGCAAACCAAGGGGTTTGCTTTCATGTTAGAACATTTTTGTCTGTTTCTTAAAAACATAAATCTTAAAGTAGAAAAAAATTTTTATTTTAAATATATAACTTTTATTTGGGGATCTTATATAAAATATGTTCCCATGTATTAAAGTCTTTCATTTTGTTTTGCACAGGTTAACAACAACAATAACAATATTACAGACTGCTTGAAAACAAAATTGGGTTTATCTATTTACTGATTTGTTGTTGTTGTTAAGTGCCATTAAGTTTATTCTGACTCATAGTAACTCTGTATAGGGTTTCCAAGGAGTGGCTGGTGACTTTGAACCTCCAATCTTGAGGTTTCAACTGACCTTTTAGTTATCCAATGCTTATCCCACAGAACCATTATGATTTTTTGCATTTTAAAGTGTTCATCATACCTTGTATTTCTTTCAGCAGATCTGTTGGTTTCAGCATATACACCTGGTTTAGGTGGACATATTTGTCTATATTTTAAAGTTAAAAATAATACCTGTTAGATAAGAAAGTACTTCTTTGTTAAATTTTAAACAAAAATACTTATGTCCAAAAAGATCAAAACATGTTGAAATCATAGCACTACTTGAGATTACAAACTTGGCTTTAGTCTTTTGTTTGAGTAGAACACAATCATCTACTATTTGAAATCCTAAAGATTTCAAATAGTATTCAAAGATTCAAAATACCATTGTACAATGTAGCCTATCGCTTTTAATATATATTTTAAACCACTGGTCATACCTATACATGTCTGTTCTAAATAGATTCCATCCATCAATAAAGCACTCTTATACTCAACCCTCTTTAGATAATCACATAATCTTTTAAGACTAAGGATGCTGTTTTTTGGTTATTAAACAACAAAGTGATGATTTCTTTCTAAAAGATTTATTCCACGTGAATTCTTCAAAAAAACATATTTGTTCAGATAAAATGGGAAATACTTCTATATTTCAACTGTACCCACCATATTTAGAATAAATTGGTAGCTGATGAATTAAGTTTATGATGTTAGGGTCTATCCCAATTTATGTTTCTTTTCTCTGTTCTTTTTCTAAATATCTGGTTGACCTACTTATACATTCTTGCATGTTCTCAAGAAGCTATATTGAACAATTTTTGTACTCCTGAGGACATGTGTTAATTACAAAGGAAACACTTCTCTTTCATATTCTTTCATTAAAATCATCTTGCTGTGATCAAAGTAATTAGGGTTTAAGACATGCACATCATCCTAATTTTATTTTTAAGATCACTGGTAGAAGGAGAAATTAGAGAAGTGAAAATGGATTAGACTAATTCCCCTACAATTTAGCTTCTTTTGAATCTAAACAAGTTTATTTAGTTAGCACTACTGATTTTAGATTAATATTTAGGCTATACTGAAGGTACTTTATTTTAGTCCCTTTAAGAATTTTCTATTCAAATTAAGATTTAATTACTTAATACTGCAAAAGGAAAAACAATATAGGGTAACAGGCTTGAGAAATTATTTTTAAGAATATGATTGTAACCATCTTAAAATAAAAGGTACTAATCTGACCTATATTTTCAATTAATTCTGTGAGGATGTGTTTTCTTGACTCATTAAAAAAACGTAATTTGCCCTCTTATCCTAAGGACAAAATTTTCAAATATCTCATGATGTTTCACAGAATAGACGTTCCCATTTGGGATTTCACCCAGTAGAATGAACACCTAATGCTAGGTAATTCTGCTACTCAGTCAGCATTTGAGAGCTTAAGTTCCCGTTTGACTGAAGAATAGCAGTTCTATAATTGGGGTTTGCATGGTGTGAAATAGAAATCACCATCAAGAAGCAAAGGAAACTAAAGAATCAAAAGTAGGCAATCAAGCAGATCTAACATATTCAGTCTTCACTGAGATATTATTATTTTTTTAAGATTGCACAATCATGATGGAAATGTACAATGTATATCTTGAAAAAGGTTTGAAATTATTAACCATTTTAACAGAAACACATGGAAAGGTTTTCAGTTCTCTGAATTTGTTCCTAAGTACTAATTACAGAGTGATGGAGACTCAACACTGAGAAGCAAGTCTCTCTCTCTATTTTTTAAAAACTTCCGAGATAAGTTAATATGAACATTTTTCAAAGTTTGCAATAATTTTGAAATCAATTACAAATGCCATTGATGCCTTTTAGTTGTGGTGTTGGAGGAGAATACTGAAAGTGCCATGGACTGCCAAAAGAACCAATAGATCTGTTTTGGAAGAAGTGCAACCAGAGTGCTCCTTGGAGGCCAGGATGGCTAAACTTCGTCTCTCCTACTTTGGACATATTGTCCAGAGGAAACAGTCGCTGGAGAAGGATGTCATGCTGGGTAAGGTGGAGGGTCAGAGAAAAAGAGGAAGACCCCTAACGAGATGGATTGGCCAGGTGGCATCATTGATAGACTCAAGTGAGGCAGCAGTAGTGAGGTTGACCCAGGATCAGACATTGTTTCGTTCTGCTGTGCATGGGGTCGCTATGAGTCGGTTCCGACTTGGTGGCACCTGACAACAACAACAACAACATTGCTAAAACAAGATTTTGAATCTACCCAAGGGTATTTCTAACATGAGTAGGAGTTTGGGCAGTAACACAAAATTTCAAGAACATCTTTCATCGGAAAATAGAGCTATTAATGGGAAATTAAGTAGGATTAAATCGAAAGCAGATAGGTAGATAGGTAGCCAGGTAGGCAAGTAGACAGGCAAGTAGATAGATAGATAGATAGATAGATAGATAGATAGATAGATAGATAGATAGATAGATAGATAGATGAGGCTGAGAATGCCTGAGTATAATTACTTCCTGAACAGGAACACTGTTTATTTTTCTCTCTTAAAGGGTTATTTCCATAAGCAAGTAATAGTCATCAGCCTTCAAAGGTAAACTTTGTTGTTGTTAAGTGTTATCAAATTGGTTCTGGCTCATAGCAACCACGTATAGGGTTTCTGAGGAGCAGCTGGTGGATTTGAACTGCCGCTCTTATGGTTTGAAGGTCAGTGCTGACTCTATAGCACCACACCAGGAGTCCACAAAAACACCTAAATGTTGGTAAGAAAAATTAGAAAAAGTTTTAAAAGTGTGTCTTTGTTGTTGTTAGATTCCAATGAGTCAGTTCTGACTCATAGATTCCCTATAGACAGCTCCCAAGGCTGTATATCTTTACAGGATCAGAAAGCCTCATCTTTCTCCCACTAAATGTTGGTGGATTTAAACTGCTGACCTTGTGGTTAGCGGTACAGTTCTTATCCCACAGTGCTACCCATGCTCCATACGTGTCTTTAGTGAACATTAAACATATCTACACTTTGCACAAATCCAATAGACAGTTCATTTGCTTCATTTCCCTTTGAACTTGCACATTCTGACAAGACATTCTGAAGTTGGAAATCTTACCTATTATCCTGTCTCAGCAAGTCAGGTGAAGAAATTGGAGAACTGGGCTTTGGAGGAATCAGAGGGTGAGCCCTTGAAAACAGAACACAGTGGCTCACTTCACCATGGAAATACAGTAAATGTTAGCATTAATTAACCAAATGCATTTCCTGCTTATGTAGAAGTATTCTGTGCATCTCATGTCTGCAAGCATCAGGTACCTAAAAGGTCAGAATTCATGGGACATTAAACTTAAAAGAAGTCAATTACTACACCTATGAATATTTTAAAAATGTGTTTCATCAGGTTTTTAAAAACACTATCCTCTTTAACTTAAGCTTGAATTATCTTATTAAACAACTTACTATTTTGCTAGAATACCTAGCTCAAGTCCTAGCGTTTGGGTGCAACAGAAAATTAGCATAGTAAAGGGTCCTTAAGCATTAACATAGAAAGCTTCTTTAGGATTATGTTAACTACTAGGCTACTACAAAAGCAGCAAGAAAGGTTTTCTATTCCACAGACCTCAAGGTGAAGCTGATTCAAAGCTCTTAACAAAATCTGCCTTAAATATTGTCAGCACAGACCAGTTTGAAGCTAACACATATAACACAACAACATATGTGTGTTGCCAGTCTTCTCCTTCCAACAAAGCACCTGGGTAGCCTTTAAACGGGCATACTTTAACAGTCTGGGACCTGGAGATGGGCCATTACATGGGTATTTGGGATGGAGTCATCATCTAACAAAGGGTGTATCACTCCTCTCACATTCCAATGGTCCCTATTGTTCAGATAAATTCAAAAGCACCTGCTAGAGGAAGAAATTTAATAAAGGAACCAAGTATAAATTGCTACAATTTGATGAACTTGACCTACACTTATGGATGTAGTAGCTCAAAATACCAACCAAGAGGGAAGGAGTCTTCAAATCAAGGATTAAATCTATCCCCTCAGTATACAGGGTTCATAGGGATGGACAACTTAGACATTTGTTGTTGTTCTTAAGTGCTGTTGAGTCAATTCCAACCCATAGCAACCCTATACAGGGTTTCCGAGGAGCAGCTGGTGAGCTTGAACTGCCAACTTTGCAGTTCAAATGGCCTTGCAGTCTGGTGCATGGCTTTCCACAGCGCCACACCAGGAGCTCTGATAGCATAGTTGTTATGAATCGGGCTGCAAACTACAAGGTCAGCAGTTCAAATCTACCAGCTGTTCACGAGAGAAAGATGAGGCTTTTCCTCGGAAATCCTGTACAGGGTTGCTATGAGTCAGAACCGACTCCACCACACATAACCACCACTTGGACATTGGCTACCTAAAATTTGGGAGTGGGGGTGCTTTAAAGATATGAAGTTGCTGGCTTAAAAGTTTTCAAGAGGAAGTTTAGTTTCAGAGTGTGTGGGTGAAGGTAGAATACCCACTGAATAGTTTGCATCTTGTCTAGACAGGTCTAGTGAAAGGAGATGAGGATAGGAATCAATAATGAGTAACTGTTATTGTGACTAATTGTGATTGTCACAATTGTAAAGGTAGAAGTTTTGTGACATAAAGTGGGGAGTAGTTAATCTTACATTCCAGGAACAGAGGACTCTAGGACCATCATGGGAGAAGAACAAGAGTGGAATGTGGGACCTTATCCAGAGAAGCAACGACACCAAAGACTAAAGCAGAGATGATGGCATTGAGAAATAGAGCAGCTGAGGACTCTAGACTCGTGGAAAGAGAAAGGCTGGGTGCTGTCAGTCAGGAGACAGGCTTGCAGAATGTGCCCTTGAGTTGTTTAAATGATAATATGTTCCTGAGTGTTTTTGTATGCATTTAAAAAAAAACAACAGCAGAGGAAATAGAAGCAAATACAGTTAACTGATGATGCATGTTGTTGTTGTTGGTGGTGTGTTGTTGAGTTGGTTCCGACTCATAGCGACCCTGTACAGAGTTTCCAAGGCTGTAAATCTTTACAGGAGCAGAAAGCCTCCTCTTTCTCCCTCAGAACAGCTGGTAATTTCCAATTGCTGACCTTGAGGTTAGCAGCCCAATTCAAAACCACTATGCCACCAAAGCTTCTTGACAGTGCACGGAAGGAATGGTAATCATTGCAATGAAACAAAATATGATAGGATGAATGCACACTACATGTTCTCCCATGTAAACTATCACTCAATGTACAATAAGAGCTTTAAAAATAAAAAAGCAAAAGTACTTACTAAAAGCATTCTTGTACTCTAGACTCTAGTTACCCTCTGCCTTCTGCAGCCTACTATGAAGAAGCAGAGGCAATGGAGTCAGACTGCTTGAGTTGCCAGCTGCATGGCGATGGGTTAACCTGATGCCATTTCTTCATCTTTAATAGCCTATCTAATAGGATTGTTGGCAGTTCAGTGGTTCTGAGGATAGCCACTTCACTGTGAACCACAAGGTCAACAGTTCAAGCCCATCAGGAGAAAGATGAGGCTTTCTGCTCCCACAAAGATTTACAGCTTATACAGGGTTGCTACAAGTCAGAACCAACTCTGTGGCACTTAACAACAACAACAACAACAACAACAGTTGGATTGTTGGGATGTTGTCAGGACTAAGAAATATTGTGCTTTAATTCAATGCATATTTGTTGTTGTTTTTTCCTAGGCGAAAGGCACTCTTCTAAGTGAACAAATTCCCTGTTCTCAAAAGATTTATAATATATGCCAGGTGAAGAAAAATGCTATGAACCAAAATAAGAAGGGTAAGTAGATAAAGAGCTCTGGTAGAGTAGTGGTTACGAATCGGGCTGCGAACCTTAAGGTCAGTGGTTCAAAACTACCAGCCGCTCCACGGGAGAAAGATGAAACTTTCTATTCCCATAAAGATTTACACCCTTGGAAACCCAGTACAGGGTCACTATGGGTCGGAACTGACTCGATGGCACTTAACAACAACAACAAGTAGATATAGATTAAATGGGGTACAAGGCACTACTTTAAATATAATGACTAGGGAAGGCTTCTCTGTGAGGTGAAATTTAAGCAAAGGCTTAAGGAAAGTGATAAAATGAACATGAGGATATATGATGGAAGGATGTATAAATATGGGCATCACCAGCTTAGAGATGATATTTAACACTTGACATTACACCAGATCACCAAAGAAGTCAGTGTAGGTAGAGACAAAAAGAGGGTCAAGAACAAAATTGTGGGGTCCTCCAATATTAAGAGATTAAGAATATGAGAAGGAAACAGCAAAAGAGATTGAACAGGAGTGACCAAAGAGAAAAGGAGAGAACTAGGAAGGTGTGGTCAATTGGATCCAAGTGAAGAAAGTATTTCATGAAGGGCCAAATGCTACTGATAGATCAAATAAAACCAAATCTGGGAAATCACCATGGTTTTAGCAATGCTCTGGTCACCAGGGGTCTGATAACAGTGGTTTGGGGAAGCACTCTTGTAGGAGTGGATTTAAGAGAAAATGGGACACAAAGAGGTGGGGACATGCCTCTTTTGAGGCATTTGCTGTAAAGACGAAGAAATGGGTAGACATATGGAGGTTGATAGGTTAAGGAAGGTCACTCCATTATATAGGTATGATGATGGGAACGGTCTAGTGAAGACATGAACTGTGATAATGCAGAGGAATGAAGGGAAATGTACTAGACAGATGTCCTTGAGAAGCAATGGGACCTACTGAACAACTTTGGTTTTGGAGGCATAGAAAGCCTCTATGTAGCAGAAGGGGTCTGCATAGATATAGCTAAGGTATTTGGGTTGATTTGGGGAGAAGAATGTTCTTTTCTGTTTGCTTTAATTTTTCAAGAAGACAGAAATCATGAACATTAGCTTAGAATGGTGGGCAAGGAGCAAAAGTTGGATACATGGGAGAAAGTGAGAAAATGTATGAAATTATTTTCTTGGAGCATGAACACAGAAAATGTCATTGATAGTAATAATAGCATACTCTGATACTTTGATTATCATGTACCAGGAAGTTTCCTAAGCACCTTACATAGACTAATTCACTTAATTCTTTCAACAACCTCAGAGATGCCATTCTTCTTCTTGTCATACAGATGAAAAACGCTGATACACAAAATGTGAAAAAAAAATGTTCAAAGATCACACAGCAGGTAAGACGCAGAGCAGGGAATCTGAAGTAGGAACTCTGGCTCCATAGCACTCCCTATATTATGCTGCTTTTCCAGAGAACCTTAGCACAAAAGAGCTGACATTAGAGCTGATGGAATTAAAGTAAGGCCATTTGACATTGTTTTATCTTTCCAATCAGCTGCTCCAGGGATAGGAAGAGAATTGAACTGAACAAACTAAGCTTGTTATTCATCCAAATGAATGCACCCAAGAGAATGATAGCAAGCAAACGGAAAGAGTATACCAGGAAGAGATCACTGAACCATATGATTCAAAGTGGGTACCAAAGGGAATAAGGAGATGAGGGGTGAGAGACTATGAGGGGATGGTAGACTCAGTAGGTTGACAGTTACGATGAGGAATTGTTGAGACCAGAGAACTTGGGGGACATGAGCTTCAAAGATTAGAGAGTTTTGAAATTTTGTAGGCAATAGAGTTGTCATATTGGGTCAGGGTGTGATGCTGTGGAATAAAGCACCAGATCACAAGGTCAGTGTGAACCACAGGGTCGATGGTTGAAACTCATCAACCACTCCTTGGAAACCCTATACAGGCTTGCTATGAGTCGGAACTCACTCGACGGCACTTAAAAATAACAACAGTAATTCGACAGTAATTCTTAAGGAGTCCTGATGTGGCGCTGTGAGATAACGCGCTGGACTGCAAGATCGGTTTGAACTGCAAGGTTGAAACTGACTTGACAACAGGGTTGTTTACATAGTTCAAGTGTATGACTTCGAGGTAGAATGGAGGACAAAACCATTGAAGTCAATCACTGAGGTGAAGAAAGTGAGATACCAGGGTGGGAAAGGATCCTCTACATGAAACATTATGGCAAGAAGAGCATTTGTGAGAGACTGGCATCAAAGTCTTAGAAGAAAAAGGTGAGTTACAGATGACTCTAGTAAGGAGAGGAAGCTCATGATAGCATGGCTTAAAAGGAGATGGGGTATGTTAGGGAGGAGAGAGTTACAGT